TTATTGTTTTTGGTGTGTTTCTCGATTTTTGTTATGATACCGCGAGTACAGGCAAAACAAAAAACACATAATATTAAGGTATTGTAAATACAATAACTTCTCAGCTCCACACCGATTCTAAGCATATTAAGCATTTGTTTAAATAAACGAATACAGTTAAACTATAAAAACCTATTAGGATTCTGGTTTTCCGGTTGATGTATAAGCCCATCGATAATTCGCAAGTAGAACATTTAGTTTTAAGAGCTGACAAAGTCGATTGTCGTCTTAGAACCTCTTACCAACTCCACAATTTAAGTAAGTATTTCTATTAAACTCTAATAATTGTAATTTCGGTAAAATTAAAAAAAAGACATTAACCTAATGAGTCAAAAGTAATGGTGTTAAAATCAGCAATAATGACTTTTTATTGCTAGTTATTTTTTTATCGATTCTTAATCGTTTTACACAATCCACATTTTGGAGAGAATTCTATAATAGACTTTGGTTTTTTGTGATATTTGGATTGAATTGTACTAAAGGATGTGTATTCAAAATGGGCAGTTTTTAAAATCGTTTTCATAATATCTCACTGATAATGTAGACTTGCGTATACAACCAAGATAAAAAAAATATATATATTTTTTACCCCAAGTCAAAAATTCAATATTTAGTAAAATGATTAATATTTTCCATTATAACTTTAAGTTATAATGATGAAAAGTTAATAAGAAAAGTTATAAATAATAAGAAAAGTTTAAACTTTAAAAAAATGAAAACAATTTCACTTTGCAGAGAACTAAAACTAGCGTAATACACGTATACAGTTTTTTATTTTTAATATTTTTCTCTAATCGCCAAATAGAATTTTCAAAATTAAAAACATGCAAAAACTAGTTTAATATTTAAGGTAAATATCAATTTTCTTTTTGAAAAATGATATTTTCTACACTGTAGACTAGTTTATTTTACATCAAAATAAAATAAAAATAATTATAAAATAACAATTAACAAAAGTACAAAATTAAACCCGAATTATAAAAATTTGGGGAGCACGTAAAAAAACCAAAAATAAATCGGCAGAACCGTTTTTTTACCAAAAAATATTTTCGCCGAAATATAAATGATCAGAAACACAAACTAACAGTACTGTATTTCTACTGAACTATAAATTAACAATACAGTATTGTAGCTGAAAACAATTTTTGGAACAAAATAAATCGGCTAAAAATATTTTATTCGATCCGTATTTTAGCCGACTCATATTTTTCTTATCAGTTTATTAATTATTATCTGATGAACTATACACCTAATACCTATAACTAATATTGCAAAACATTGTTTCTGAATTTAATGAACACTATTTTAATTTGTAAAAGACTGATAGCCTTTACTTAATGATTGGTTGTGGGCGGCGGACTCTGTTACAGACATTCTATATAATAATAATTATCTTATAATTATAAAAGGTAGGCTTACTTGCCTTATAAGTTTGTATCCACTGGCATAAAATATCTAGTCGGTTGATTAAACAATTAGTTCCTCTTTATTCATAAAAAAAGGCCTCTTTGGTTAGATTATCTAGAAATAATAGATCTCACGAGCTCAAATACTTCAGAAGGTCAATCACGCATGTGCTTGGAGAGCTTAGTCCGTTACAGTATAGCCAATATTTTATATTATGAAAATTTAATTATTGCTACCGAATCAGTTGTCATATTACATAATATTATAATACATTATTTTTAATGCATATTTCTTAGTATATAATTAATAAAATCCTCTATTTCTGTACCAACTATTGAATAGAAATTTCATGATTAATTTGGTATCAAACCAAGGGCTAGAGTGGAGATCACAGTTATAGAAGTTACAGAACATTTTTTTTTTAGCTAGAGTTGACTTTTAAATGATAATGATTCAACTGAACAAAACTACAAAAATAAAAAAAAAAGCCATAACAAGTGTATTGGACATAGATGGATTTCCGCCTCAAGTTACTTCATGCAAACAAAAAAAAAGCGACGAAAATGATTTTCGTTACTTCTTTATTCAAAATATGCAAATTTTAAAAATGATGTTGCTTTATTAAATCCTGTTCAAATCTCTATACCGGTATTTAAGGCTACCATGACTAGACTACGGTCTTAATTAATAGCATTCCAGTTTTATGTATATATCTATTCAGTATGCGATTTTAATACCTTTGTAGAAAATAAATTATTGTTAAAAAGGTAGAAATCATTATAAAGTTGCTAACAATTGTTGGAATTTGAGTGTTGGAGTGGATTTGGATAATATAAAAATTAACACAAGTTGTATAGTAATAAATAAAGACTTGTTATACACAGTTGGCTTACACAAACAATATAAAAAAAATGAGTAAATAAGATATCCCCGGATCTCCCTTTTATATAAAACTAAAAGAATATTCTAGAACAAAAATTGTATACAATGCAATACTACAATTGACGTCAATTTACACGCGAATTTTTTTAATAACAACTGATTGGCTGATTATATAAACTACGCCATTATATTTTACTTATTAAGAAAACAAGTTTATCTAAACAATATTAATGAACACTTACATTTTAAGAAGAATGTAATATAAATTATTTATTGAATATTTCAACACCCTACCTCAATGAATAATATCTATAGGTCCACCTTCTCCTTCAACTGACTGACTCCCATTGTTAACCGTAACCCCTTAAACCTCTGTTTTGGCAATGGTTTAGTTAGGATGTCTGTAACCTGAATCTGCGTGTCAATATTTTGTAGTTGAAATAGACCTTCCTCGTACTTCTCTCGAATGAAATGATACCGCGTCTGAATGTGTTTTGTTCGTCGATGAAACTCCAGATTTTTCACTAAACGTAAATCTCTTTGATTATCAATGAATAAAATTGTTTGAATATCTTTTAATGAAATTAAACTTTATATCAAATGAGTTAACTATATCATTGACTTAATCGCTTCACAAGCAGCTATGTACTCCGATTCTGTGGTTGATAAGGCTACCGTTTGTTGTCCAAGAAATGACAGTTGATTCAAGTCTAAATACATATCCTGATGTTGACCTCTTAGTTTGGACACAATTTGCAAATTCCGCATCACTAAAAGTTTCCATACACAACTGTTTAGTACTATCCAAACATAACCCATAATTATTGGTTCGTTTTAAATAGCGCAAAATAGGTTTTACCATGCTCCAATGTACTTGTTTTGGCTCTAATAAAGAACGACTAACATAGCTAACAGCATATGCTGCATCTGGTCTCGTTACTGTTGATAAAAACAATAAGCACCCGACCGCTTGTCGGTATGGAATTTGATCACCCGTTTGTTTTAATTCTTTATCTAGGTCAATTGTATTCGTTTTATCAATAGGTATAGACAACTCCTTTGCCTCATGCATGTTAAACTCTTTAATCACATTTAAAGCATAATTCGATTGATGCTCAAATAATGGACGATTGGGTAATTGATTTATTTGCATGCTAAGAAAGTGTTCAAAATTACTCACTTTTACCTCGAATTCTGCTTTTAAATGTGACAAGAGTTCTGTAATTGTTTCTTCATTACTTGCTGCCAAAAGACCATCGTCAAGTCAAACTGGCCAAGTGTTAAGCAATACAAATAATAGAGCAGTAGCAGTGTTGCTCATGAAAGTAGGAGTGAAGTGTGGTTATGAACTAAAGAAACAGCAGACTTGGCCGTAATGTAAATATACTACTTTGATAGGTTGAAATTTTTGGAAGGGGGTTTGAAACTTGGCTTTTTTTACTGTTAGGTTTTTGTTAGGGATTATTATAAACGGGTAGAGAATTTTCGAAAAGCGCGCTGTATTTACTTATCTGAAAGATACTCTAATGGTTAATATTATATAAAGATGTCGACCATTCGGTTTATTGGTTTGAATTCAATCCTAACTGAATTCAAATGGTACCTATACCATACGGAAAATATATTAGTGTTTATTAATCAAAAAACGATTAAAATTAATTAAAAATTGTAATACCTCTTAGATATACGTTTTAATTTAGAAAAAGTCATCAGAACTTTCTAGAGGATGATTTTTTTTTGGGATCATATACAAAAAAGAATATTTTTATCATCCTCGTTTTTCGTTTTTTGGTTAATTGTTAAAATAAAATTTAAACAGTTAACAGAATTGTTTTTATTTTTGTCTATTAGTGAAATATCTGTAATTTTGTATATATAAAGTATCGTTCAAGTTAGATTTTTACCTTACAAAAAAATCAGTTTAACGATCTAGGAAATATTATGGGTCTGGTAAAAAATTTATAAATATATTTATATATATATGAATTTTTTACTGTGTGTAATTTGGTCCAACTTGAGTGATTAAGATTTTAGTGAAAGTTTATTCCAATAGATGGCGCTAGTTAGACAAATATCACAGCTGACAGCTAATCAGCTGACAAATGGACGGTTGACAGCTGATAATATTTATTCATAGTTTCTGGTAAAAAAGCGATGGTTTTACATATCATATTTTATAGTTACCATTTTAGTCTTCCATAGATTACCACCTTGACTGTAACATTTCAAAACATAGCCCAAAGAATCAGGACAGCACAGAGTCCTGTACATGAATCTCGAGAACAACACTATTGTTGATGAAAACGAAACCGTAAATTTGATAGTGACAGCAAACCAGTCGGGCATTAATACGTTGACCATTTTTTCCATAGGGATGGGGATAATAATAGAGATTGTGATGGAGTTGGAGTTTGATAATAAAATATAATCATAATAATAACTAATAATTTGTATAACTTGTATAACTTGTGAGTACTATGTTTCAATTGTATTTCTTAACCCGTACGAAGCAGGGTACACGGGCAGCTAGTATATATATTTATTTATTTATTTGTTAATTTATTTATCATCCTAAAACTGTCTCGTAAAACCATAACCTTCACACCTCTAAGCCAGAGACAACAGTATTTAATACAAAATGTATTTTATTTGTTATTTGTTTTTCGTAGAAAAAAATGAACGTCTTCTGTGTATTGATATTTTTTTTCTTCATGGATATTGTGGCATCTAATTGGAGTAATTTTTTGATTTTCACAATTACTTAAAGTAGTTAAAATTTGAAATAAATTAAATATTTCACTTTTTTACAGATATGTATTTGGATTTTGTTTACGTTACAAGTCAGTAACAATTTCATTTTATAAATAAATGTTTTTTAAGTTTTTAAAATCCACTGTTTTTATACATATTTTTAAAATTATGTAACATAGCTAGCTTCATGAAGGTTGCTTCTGAAAAAAATGATTTAACTTTAGTAGATGGAACTGAAACAAGTAAGATATTATATTAAAAATAATGTACTAATATATATAGACGATTTGTTATATGTACCTAATAGTCAAGTTATCAGTAACTTTAAAATTATAGTTTTTACAAATAGTTAAGAAAAGTGGACCGGATATGTAGAACAGTGTACATAGCAATATAATATATAAATTAGCGATTTCTAATAATCTAATCGACGGAGAAATAGTCGGGTTTAAAATTATTCTAAACATTTTTATGGTACTTAGTTTATTTTAATTTTAATATTTTAGTATAGCAAAAATCTTTATTTGTTTATTCTAGATGCATTGGAGTATCTAATTGAGGCAATGGTTGATGATATCAATGATGATCTTAACTACCAAGATTTCCGTAATCATAAGTATATTATTAATAAAAAAAATAAAGACAAGAGTAGAAAAAAATATTTGAAAATAATATAAAAAAATGCATGTCAAGTTTATCTTTATGCAATTGATAAGTGTCATAATTATTATATTTTTCACCGAAATCTAAATAAAGGCTTTATGAAAAAATACTGATGTTAGATCTAGCAACCTCGTCAGATAAATATATTTTATTCTTATCCCAAAAACTGCATCAATTCAGTCATTACATTTTATAAGGACTCCCTAGTCTAAAATTATATTGTTTCTATTTTGACCTCGTCTTTTAATTTATAATTATACAATGTAATAATTTACTATAGCAAATCCAATTCAATATCATTAATTTATATAATGTTAATTTCAGGCAAAATTAATTTTTTGATCACTGTGCCGGGTAACAATTTTTGTTAAATTTTATAAAAAAATTTCTAATATTTCATTCCTATTGAATATTTGAAAGAAACTTTTATCGTAATGAATATATATTGGAGTATATTTTTTCCGAATAATTAATACACATGATTTTTCTACCTTGCAATTCGTCTTACTGTTTGTAAAAGAATAGCAAATTAAATGTAATATAACTGATTTATGTGTTGTTAATTTCAGACAAAAGGGATCTTATCCATGAAATAGGGGGTAATAATTTTTTATTGCACTTTATGGAAGCGTTACCGCACAACTGTTTTTTATTCTTAATGCACACAAGATTTTTGTTTAAATTTTAAAAGAACGAACTCTACCAAAATTGCTAAGTAAAATCCCCACTTTATATTTCATATTTATTTTACTTATTCAATATTTATTAATTATAAACACTTTGAGAATAGTCATATGTACCAATCGGTTTCAATAAAACAAATACGAATATATATTAAAGTTTCTTTTGTTTTAGAAGCCAATCATTTCCTCGAAATAATGCTACGCGACATGGAAACTATAACACGTAAATATAAAATTTAAAAAAAATAGTTACATATTTTTGTAGTTACGATTTATAACTTAAAGTCATATTGCTATATATTATGTTTAATATTTAAGCTATTAAAAAACATTTGAATTAGAATTAAAAACATTTATTTTTATCATTATAGAATATAAAATAATATTTTGCATTTATAAATATTGGTCTACTTAGTCTCAGTTATAGAGTGAATGATATGTATAAAATATGTCAACTGGGATTTATTAAATGCTTAATAATATTTTAATGTATTTGTTACAGGCTTAAGGATGTCAAGATATTCAAGACGTAATTACGATTTTTTTGATAGTAAACAGCCTCTATTTAGAGTTGATAATTGCTTCATATGTGATTTGATTTATTTATTTTGTATATCACATAACAATTTTAAAAAATTCGACTTTTTGTCGAGGAGAGAAGGAGGGAGAATGAGACTTAGTAAAAATTTAAGGTGATGTTTTGATTGTAAATTAAGTAGAAAAACGAATATTATTGCACCTCATCAACTTAAAGTTGGCTACTATATTTATGTGAATTATAATCTTTGGGATTTCAAGTTTACAAAGAATACATTTGTTGTGTATCAACGCTAATAAGTGGTTGTACAAAAAGTTAGTTTTATCACAATTCTTTGAAATGCAATGCAACAATTATGTATAAATAGCGACTAATATATTATTATTTTTATGATTTCTTGGGAACACGGGTCATTTAAAAATCATTTTCTTAGGTACCGGTGAACTGAGGGCCATTGTAGATAGGAGAAGAAAACTCGTTTTTGAAGCTTTAAAAAGTATAATTCGACGTCGTTTACTAGGTAAATATTATTATATTAAGTTGTATGGTTTTTGAATACTATCAAATATTTATATATATATATATATACAATCCATATGGTCTACCTTTTTAAAAACTGGACATAAAACAGATATAAGCCACGGCATGGTATTTAATCATGTTCCGATACTTTAATAATCAAATTGTGTATGATTAGTTAATTGTTGTACTCCTTTTTTGAGGCATTAAGAAACTATTTCATCTTCTCCGGCCGCCTTTCCGTTTTTGAGCATTTCCAAACCAACTTCTACCTTTGTTCTTGATGGTTCTTTGTTTTGCTCTACTGAGTCACATTCTTCTATAATTGTCCTTTCATTATATTGGTTTAATACGTTTTTTTAACTCATCTGCTATCTTTCCGTTTTTGGTCAATAACGTTCCATTTTCTCCTCCAATCATTGATGATTTACGTTTAAATCTCTATTTAACTCCATGCTTTTTCAAAAAATATTCGCACATTATTCTTTCTACTATTTTATATGAGTTGTATTCTTTCTTTTTTCCATGCTCATTTGTTCATCCTTATTGTTATTTTTACCTCTTGCTGTTTCATGTCTAGTAGTCGTTAATTTTCTTCTCATGGGTCCTGTAAAACTTATAATTGGGCTTTATTCCTGTCTTTCGTGGAGTTTTTACACTGATCATTAAACCATGTTTTTTTTCCTTCTCTGAGAATCATGACCCAATACTTCTTCTACGGTTTTTTTGCCGCTGTTTCTACTGTTCCCCATAACTTGTCTATAATTGTTTCATATTCCAAATTGGAAAGATAGTTTTTAATTTTTCCTGATATTCCTTGGCTTGGTTTTCCTTCAGTAGCTCTTTGTTGATTTTGTTTTTAACTCTCTTTTTTCTGCCATTTCATTTAAATCTTTAGTTTGCTCTTTGCCTTTACCAGGAAGTGGTCAGAGATCGCCAGTCAACGATTATGTGATTTATTTGGTTTCTTATCCTCTCACAAGGTGATATCCAAGTCTGTTTGTGAATGTTTTTGTGTGGAAACATTGTACTGCTTACGACCATGTTCTTTGCTGCTGCAAACACAATCAATTTGTTTCACATGATATGATTGTCGTCAAAGTTCCAGTCTTATACATTGATCGCATGTTACAGGTTCCAATACATAAATCCGTAAGCTCCACGTTCCGAGGCAATGTTTGTTTTTCTAAAATCAAAGAATTTTATTTAAAAGGGTTGGGTGATTAGCCCCGCCCTAAAACTCCAATAATAGGAGGCCCAACGCCATTAGGGTACGCGGGGTCATTAAACCCGTCACTCTAGGAGAGTGCCCTTGCGGCTCTATAATTTATATATAAATATATACAGAGTGATCCGACTAACGTAAGACACTCATTTCTCGGAAAATATAAATATTTAGAGAATTTTTTTTTCCTAAACTTTTAGGTACTAAAAGCCAACTGTGTCTTCAATATAAAGACATAATGGTAAAAATACAAGATAATAATTTAATCAGTTCAAAATACTATAGATTTATGAAATATGCATACATGTATTATATACGCACTTTTTTTGGGCATGATAAAATAATATAATATGGGAAGGTTAGGTTGGAAAAAAATTTGTCGAAAGTGTTGTCTACTGATAAGATATGTGAACAATTGACCAGACATGTATGAAGTGTCACGGTTTCCGACCGTGGGTAAAGAACCGCTACTCTATATTATATTATAAAACTTAATGTATTATTTTTTTATCACTTCGTATTAACAAATAAAATAGTTTTGTCTTGCACCACAAAGAAAAGTAACTGGTAAGCGAATATTAGTAAATTAAAAAAAAAATGTTTTAATTTTTGATCAGGATTTGTGCAAGAAGTAGAGAATAATGACTCTTTATTACCGAAGTGTCGTTTGCTAGGATTATACTTGAGCTCACAAGATTCACAATCATACATAAAAGAAATTCAAACTAACACAACTACCCGTACTTGTATCTTAACGGATAAAAATGAAGCCATAAAGATGTACAGGACCGATGATGCGGGATCACTTGAGAGACTGTTACGACTTGAACGTCAAGAACCATCCACTCTTCGACCTAGTTTTGAGATGGGTTGGGGTGATTTACGTTAGTTAAACACTGGCATCTGTATTCTGTTCATTAAATAATATATTGTAATTTATCTTATTATTGTCTTTATATACGTTATAAAATCAGAAATTGTAAAACATTTTCATAAAATAAGCTGACGGAAAAAGAACAGTCGGCTGATTTTGTCAAAAACTTATTCCACATAATACATTTTTTTGTAAGTACATAATATTATAAGTTTATTTCTGTTTTATGTCATGTTAAGTTATGTTTTTTTATCTAATCTCTTCCAACTATTTATTTCTGCTTCTAAATCCTTGCCTTATATTTCTACCTTTATTAAATGTCTTTGAAAATTTGGCTGATATGTCCATCGCTTATATTTCCAACAAATAATTCATATTAACGGTTATTATGTTAGAGGTAACATAACCTAAATGGAGTTTTACTGTTGAGTGAACAAATTAAATATTGTATGCATATTATATATATATATATATATATATATATATATATATAGCTAGTTGTGGAAAAAAGTATCCTGGCTGGTTTACCACAAGGGTATTGGATTTGCTTAAATATGACCTTAACAATAATAATTCCGGATACGAAAATTAATCATACATAATATTTTAAATCGAAAAAAATATCGATTTCAATTTCATTTACGACGCTTTATTGTTTGCTAAATTTTATATTAATTTAAGTGTTTTTTACAAAAAATCTGGGTGCATAGAATGTTATTACGATTTGTTATATGTTCTATTATTGCAACTCATATGTTGTTCCATATCCATATGAATTAAGGTAATAAATAAACTAGCGCATTTCATACAACGAAAGTTCAATGTATAAAATAAAATCTAACACATTATCAATCGGAAACCCGGGTTTAGGACTCAGCTTAAAGAATTCTGTACAAGTTGTAAAAAAAAAAACGTTCTACTCGTTAAAATTGTTCTATATACAAAAAATATATTTATATTTCTTCATATATACATTTTTTCTGTCCGTGTGTAGGTATGCAAACTCCCCCTAAACGGCTGGACAGATATTTATGAAATTTGTGTTCGCGATTAAGTCGATTTGAGTAAGGTTTAGATTCATAATTTGATCCGAAAGAATATGTTTTAAATTTTAAATTTATTAAAATGATTAATTATGATTATCAATAGTATCAAAAGTTATCAATACATCTCTATGGTTTTCTATACCACATGGATACAGTAATCCGATCAGCTGATTGTGTGTCTATTCTAATACACGGGCAACGCTGGGTCGGTGACAGCTTGTATTATTATATATTTTAATATTCATTAGATGTATCATAAATATCCAATTAAAAAAAGAGAGAACTGGTCAATCAATGGACAATCTTATTTTTTTATAGATTTGGACACTTAAACCAATAATGTTTTATCTTAGTTTAGAAAAGGGTTAAGCCCAATTAAGATTTCTTTTTAAAAATGTTAAAGTTCTAAAAATAAAAATACATTTTTATGTAAGTGATATTCAAAAGGGCTGCAAGTAGTGGTATAAAAAAACAAACGTTGTCATGGTAAAATTGGATTTTGATTTTAATTTAGGAGTAAAACGATAAAGACAATTCGGTGTATTACTTTGAAGCAAGAAGCTGTTTTTTTGAAAATTTCAAAAAAACTTTTATTATGTATTTATAATTTGTATTATATTGTGGTTTAGTCAAAATATATCTGTTATGAACAGTTTTTTTTTAAATACAGCTTTTAAATTATTTTCAAATTTTAACATAATTTCTCTTGAATTTGTTTTTTGTGTTTGTGATAGCACTTGACAGATATACTTTTTTAGGACTTATATGCAGAGACGTGTTAATTGGTGTTAATAGGTATATTTTTATTTCTACGGCGCTGTAAAATTTGATTGTTTACAAAACAAATTATACCAAAATTTACATATGTGTGATAATTGTACAGAAAACGACTATGCGTCACATAGTCATTTGTACACGTTGCCTTTTTAAAATATCTGTCTGATACTCTAATTGACTGTTAATTAGACATTGCTTATTAGCGGATATTATACTTTCCTGGTTCCAGTATACATGTGTGCATGTATAATAATACAAAATAATAAGTATTCTTTCATTAAAAGGTTTTTTTATCAAAAATAAAAATAAAACTACTCATTCCAATCATTAACGCGGCATTAATAAACTCCACGGAGCTTTTTTACGACCCTATTCCATATTTTTAATGGGTTTTTACCGTTAAACAACACCTAAAGGTATATTGTATTTAAGAATATCATGAAAATGCCTTTAAATAACTGTTGACTGTTAATTAACACGTAAACATATCAACCTAGAAATTGACTACCATCAAAGTGTAATAGCAACTATTATCTTGTAAAGTAACGTAATTTTAAATTGAAAAATGTGTATATATTGTTTTTTTCAGTTTTGAAGTGGAAGGGGTAAATTTTTAAAAATGTTGGCCTAATGAAGTACCTATTAGGTACAATTTTTGTTCTAATCTCCATCTCATACAAGAAAGCCAAAACGCGTCACCCCGAGGTGCTAGAGTAATGGAATTTGGTCACTGTGCACTACCTTTCTTATGTGAGATAGAGTATATTATAGAGTTTCTACGCGAAGAAATCGATTCTTTGGTTTAGTGGGTATCGTGGGTCCAGACATAAAAAAAAAATAATAATACATAATTGTATGAACAATACTAAATAGTTATTTGTAAATAAACCTAAATAGCTTAATAAGTTATAAGACAAATTGTATAGGATTTTTAATAAGACAAGATTTTTTTTTCATTGTCTTAGGTCCTATAAATTTTACACGCGTTAATGGTTCAATAAAAAGTTTTTTCTATTATAGTTGGTCGAAAAAACGAAAAATTATCTTATTTTTACGTATAATTATTTAAACTATTTTGATAACTAAGGTCGTTTTTCGACTTTTCTATGAAATATCATCTTTTGTGAGGGTTTCTGAGTATTTTTACGAAGAACCTGATTTTTATTTTCACATTTTATGTAAAATTATCTCAGTTTTCAATTTGTTGAACATCTAAAAAATATTAGAAAAATTCTCAAATTTCGGGCAACACAAAAAACTCAAATATCTAGATTATAAACTCAATTTTAATTAATTAACGATACTAGAAAAACATTTTTTTCATTGTGCTGAGCCACAGGAGACATTGCACGCTATCAACTAGACTATATACTGGTCAAATCCTGCTAAAAAATCAAGTGAAATACAGTTCTCGTAGCAGAGATAGACGGTGATCATAAACTAGACATGATGAAATGTCGGGTCACACTCAAGAAGTCTAAGAACCAATCCAAACACAAGATATGGGATCTCAATAAACTCAAAACGAAAAAAAACAAGAATAAGTTACGCGTGTGATTCAGATAGAATAACGGGAAAAATGGACGACCGCGGAAAGCTGCCGAGGGGTTTATTAGATATCTAAAACTGATTTCGAGGAAACCATGGATAAGAAATGAAGTAACTATGGAGTTGATAAAATAAAGTCTTTAAATTATGGCTAAGAAACAAAAAACATGCACCCAAGGGGGTCCTCCTAGGGGAGGAGGAAGGAAAATGGGTATAATTAATATTTAAGACTATTGACGTGTGGAAGCATACCAAATAAATGTTCCTTATAAATTTCAACTCGATCCAACTCTTATTCACGAAATTATAGCCAGTAAAATTTCTAACTTTAAAACTCGTATGGTTTTAATGTTTTTTCAAATGTTAGCTGTGAAGAAGTAAACTTTTTCAAATTTTACCCCTTGTGATGCGATATTATGTAGACCTGTTCTGACCGTCTTCGGGGAGCAAATTTTGGCGTGGCACGGGATAATGTCTCATGCACGTGACAAGTAAAAAAATTGATTAAGACTAACCTTTAGAGTAAGGATGAACTTTGGAAACTTATCTAACCAGGGAAATAGTCCATCCATCGGGTGTCTCACAAGTACGACGTCAGGTCACGTGAGAAAACGGCGCGGGTCTCGACATGTGTGGCATGCCGAGGGCATGGCGCCACTATTCTATTTTCATGTTAATTTAAAATCTTTTGAAAATATTATATGGTTTTGTCATAGTTTTTGCCTTTCTAAATAATTAATGTATAATTTCTTGCTTTCTAACGCGGAAACGTATTGAAAACACGTTTTACGTTGTGTTATTTGCTTAAATATGAAGGAAACATAATACTTTGGTGTGATGTTTTGTATGCTTGTTGAAACAGTTACCAGTCAGTCATACACCGATGCACTAAATAAGAAATACATCCAAAACAAAAACAACATCTTTTACATTGACCTAGTTTTATTATTTTAGGCGTCTAAAATAAAATAAACATTGATAATTTGAATTAGGTTTTAATTTTTACTCTAAAATTTCGTTGTATGAAATGCAATAGTACTGTAACGGACCTACTTGTCTAGCTTGTTAAAATGTCTACCTCCACCGTTAACATTAAATCTACTGCCATTATTTCTAAAATTATTAAAATGTCTTCTAAAATTACCATTACTTTTAAACGGTCTATTATTCATGTTAGCTTTAAGTTCCTCAAGCTCTTCTCTTAAACGTCTTACTTTATCACTAATATCGTTATCTTTGCTAACTTTAAGTACCTCAATCTCTCTTTTCAAAAACTCGATCTCCTTTGCAGGGTTCTTACGAATCGCCTTAGCAACTTCATACGCCTTAACATTTTTCGTTATTTTCTCTACTGACGAATTATCTAATGTATATATTTTCTAATAAACATCCTCTGATAATCCTTTCAATACTAATTTCGTAATCTCCTCTTCACTCATTGTATCGTTCACTCGACTGCATTCGGTAACTACATTCAAAATATACTCCTGTAAACTTTCTTCCTCCTGTTTTTCTCTCTTGTTCAAATTTTCTCTCAAATGTATACTATGGCTCCTCTGAATTATAATACTCTAAAAATACCTTTTTCAAATCTGCCCATTTTAAATCTGCGCTTTTAGATTCTATTCTTTTATACAACTTTTTCGCTTGTTCTCTTAAATATAGCGGAAACATTATTAGCCTTTGCGCCTCACTCCAGTCGTTCGCAGCCGATATCCTATCGTAAGTTTCTAGGTAATCATTAATATCTTCGTTCAATCGACCGGAAAAGCATTGTGGAGTGATATTCATAATTCATTTTTAATTGAATAAAAAAATAACGTATTTTAAGTGAAATAAAATCTACTTTAAAATTCCAGAGCAATTTGTACCGTAAAATAAAACACCTTAACACAAACTGAGAGCGAATAATTTAATCAGTGCAGTTATATGGGGTCGTGGCCGTAGTTTATTCCCTTGCAAAATGGGTTCTCCCCCAAGGTAAAAAATAAAACTAACGGCAATCGGCGCCTCCACCAAGTTGTAACGGACCTACTTGTCTAGCTGGCTAGACTAGGCAAAGGGGCCGTCGATAAGGCTAAAATAGACGGATCCCCACGGGAAAACGGTTGGCTAGGCCGCTGTCTACGTCTAATTGGCCTTAAAGTCTCCCTTATTAACTTAATATATCGCCCAAGGAGCTAGAACGGGCGGTCACACTGTTAAATAATCTAACTCTCAGCTGCAGGCTACAAGATGTTTTATTCTAAATTAGGGTTTCTAAATAAAATACAAAATTATACAATATATATATATATATATATATACACTCTGACCTGGGTTGGACGATGAAATGGTTGGTCAAAGCGGAGTTGAAACGGACGCACACAAAAGATAGTCGGATGGGCGGCTTGTAGTAAAACGGCAAAAATATAGAGCGCAAGGTCGAGGATATTGGCGGTCCGTGATGGTAAAGTCAACTGGTTAATTAGATGATATGCGACGTGCATTGTCCTGTGTGTGCGACCGTTCCCCTATCTATAGTCGGGGCTGCTGTGTCAGTAGGTTTGGGACGCGAAGTAACGGTCAGGTGAAATACGATCGTTACAGTGCATTATGTTAACGATTGACGATCAACCCTAATCGTATACACCCTAATACTAAAAACTATTTTTTATGTAATAGTACATAATTCTCATTAAGTACAATGCTTTTATATGATATTTGTAGTTTTATCTGTGTACACTAGACTGTACTGATTATACTTTCTTACTGTGCTTGGTTTGAACCGTACTGGTTTGTATTTACTATACACAGATAAACGTCGAAGCGTTTATTTAAAAGTGATTTTATCACCTTCAGTTATAATAATTTCTGTAGACCTGTGTCCCGACTGTACTGTCTTTTTTCAACTTTATTGTTATCGTTGTTTTTAAATTTTAATTTTAATTAATATTTGTTACTCGTGTGGTGGACCTTAGAGTCGCTATCGACTAATGCATCTGCCAACATATTTTTAGGAAACAAAATAAAATACATTTATGAAACGGGGTTTTATTTAATCAAATACGGTTTTTAATATTGCACAAAAATTAAAAATAAGTTTACAAACGGTGCCAAGGCCATGGCTTTGTTGCTGTCAGGGCGTAATAATCATTTAATTTTTCTAAGGAATTTACACTTTCAACTGATGAGTGCTTAACTTGTGGAAATCCAAGTCTTAACTGTTGCTCAATTGACTGTACTGGAACGTTCACATCCTCTAAGCTTAATTCTGACCATACGTCACCAATTTTCCCGTATCTCCTGTTGGTTTTATTTATATCCCGTAGGATACAAGTACCAAAAATCGGTTCAATCTGAATTTTTTTTATGTATGCATTTGGAAGATGTGTACTCAAATATAATCCCATGAAACGACACAGCCGTAATGTAAAAGCAACATCATTCTGCACAGGTTCACCTAAAAATATGAATTGGGAGTCAACTTAGATAATCGACTGACCTGGAGTTATTATATTCGAACTAAAAGATTGACTCTCAATGCTCGAATGGGTATGCTTAGACCTTCTCTAATTAAAAATAACTTAACCAGTTAAAAACCAAACTTTTTATCTATAAAACTCTTCTTAAACCTATTTGGACTTATGGACTACGACTCTGGGATGCAGCAAAAAAATAAAATTTAAATAAAATCCAAACGTTCCAAAATTTAGCACTTCGATGAATCTCCAATGCCCCGTCATATATCCCAAATCTAACCCTTCATAATGATTTTGCTATACAAACTATTGTTATTAGCACATTTTTATTATTCACGCTTTCATAACCGACTACTAAATCATCCCAATCCTCTAATAAAAGATCTATCCATCTGTACGCTCTCAGGCAATCCTCACCGCAGACTAAAAAGAAAGTGGTGTCGTGATATTTTAAACACATTAAAATAAAATATTAAGAAATAAATTTAAAAAAATACTGAGAAAATAGTTAAGTCATCAAATTATAAGTGTTGCTAATAAGTGACTTATTAACAAGCGTGTATGTCAATTTTATGTCTCTTATCATATAAGCTTATTGTACAAATTTATGTAAAGATTGTTTATATCTAATAAAATTTTAAAAAAAATAAAAATTTGCTTAAATTAGCTTTCTAGTTACTACTTTTTTTTTATAGTACTGGACACAACTATTTTATTTTTTGTTAATACAAAGTTATAAAAAAAAATAACATTACAAGCATGGTGCCCGTACTGTACAACCATAATATTTATATTACATGAATGTATGTGTTAGAAGTTATAAAAAAATTGGTTAAATGTTAAAAATGTAAATATTCCTTTAAAAAATGTATATAAATATATTACAAGTTTTAAAACCATACGACTCAATAAAGATATTTACCTAATATACGCGTGATTATATTGTTTAAAGCTGGAATAACATAATCTCTTCTATCGTCTCCAAGGGTTTTCAATGTTCCCCAAACTACGAAAATGTTTATAAGAAAAATGTTAAATTACCGTTTTGCGAAGAAATAATAAAAATAATAGTACTTTATCAACTCTTAAACAAGCTTTTAAGGCTATATACGACTATCAAAAAATTCGTAATTACTTTGGTATCTTACTTCATACAATTTAATTCCTGTAACAAATTCATCGAATTTCAAATCATTATGAAATAAATAAAATTCGGTTAATCAATTTTATAAATATGAGTCACTCTATAACTGAGATTAATTAGACCAATGAATTAATTCAAGATAGTATTGTGTAAATGTGAATTCATTTCTAATAGCGATGATTAAATAAACGGTTTAAATTAAAATGTCCAACATGAAACATATATAGCTTTATGATTTTAAGTTAAAAATCGAGTTATTCTTCAAAAGTACAAATAAGAGTACCCTTTTTTATTTTGTTTTATAATTACCTAATTTAGATGACATTTGTTTTAGCATTACATCGTGGAAATGCTTAGCTTCTAAATTTAAAAAAAATATATATTTTTAATGTACCAACATATTTTTTAATGATTGAAACTGATATGTCATATTGGTATTTGTAGGTATATACGATTATTCTCAAAGTATTTATAAATAATAAATATGAAAAATATAAATGTGTTTTACTTTTCAATATGTTAGAATAGTAGGGTCCTGAAAATAAACAAAAATATTGCGTGCATAAAGAGTATCAAACAACTGTGTGGAAACCCATCCATAATGTGCAACGAAAATTATTACCTGGTACTTTAAAGATCATGTTCGGTCGTTCTGAAATTACATTACATAAATTAATGTTATTTCATTAAATTGTCTATTCTATTATAAACAGGAACACGAAGCCAAGGTAAAAAAAGCAATTGTATTAGTATCGTGGAAGAAGTATATTCCTCTATATATTCGATGGGAGTCTCTTTGAAAAATTTAACAGGAATAAAATATTGGAAATATTTTCATAAAATTCATCAAAAACTATTACCCGGTACAGCGATTAAACAATTAATTTTGCCTGAAATTGACATTACATAAATTAATAATATTGGATTTGATTTGCTATAAAAATTATTGTATTATATAATTATAAACTAGTAGACGAAGGTCAAAGTAGAAAATAACTATATTAAATAGACTAGGTAATTCATATGAAATTATCAACTGAATTGATGCAGTTTTTATATATTTTTTTTCAATAATATTTTCTACTTTTATTTTTTTTATTTTTATTATAATTATGATTACGGAAATCCTTGTAAATACTATTGACATCATCAACCATTATTTCAATTATATGCTCTAATCCATCTAGAATAAACAAATGAAGATATTAAAATTAAATAAAAATAGGTACCATACAAATGTTTAGAATAATATTAAACCATGCAGTAGCCATTTAACTTGAGGCTACTTTCTCGATTAGATTATAAGAAATTACTACATTAAGTAAGTTCTACACTGTTGTACATACCTGGTGCACTTTTCTTAAATATTGCTAGAAACTATACCTTTTAATTTACAAATAACTCGACAATTAGATACATACAACAAAAAGTCTCTCTCTCTCTCTCTATATATATATATATACATATATATATATATTAGAATATTATTTTAAATATAATATCTTACTTGCTCTAGATATACCTCCTACAGTTACATTTCTCTTCTCATATGCTTGCCTGATGAAATCAGCTGTGATATAAAAAAATATATACAAAAACAGTGGATTTTGAAAGCTTAAAAAACATTTGTTTATAAAATAAAAATGTTACTGACTTATATTCCAAACACACTCTTTATAATCCGCTGTAAAAAAAATAATGTATTATTTTTTTTTTTTTTAACTGCCTTAAGTAGGCAACTGTGAAAATAAAATAATTACATAGATCATTTGCCATAATATTCACGAAGAAAAAAGATATTAAAAACCAAAGGTATTTCATTTTTATCTGCGAACAATAACAAACACAAAAACATTTTATATTAGTCATGGTTGCCTCCGGTGCAGAGATGAGTAGGTAATAGTTTTGCCAGGCAGTTTTAATATGATAAATATATATAATATGTATACATTTATTTACTAGTTCCAAATTATTTCCTAGACCGTTAAACTGTTTTTTTTTGTGTAGCAATGTAGGAAAAAGTTAGAAAACTTGAATGGTACTTTATTTGGCCAAAGTTACAGTTATTTCACCATAATGAAGATGGACAAAAATAAGTCTCTGTTAACTGTTACACTTAATTTTCAAGCGTCTAAACTTGACTACGCATTATGCTTCTTAGGCATCCCATAATGGATTTAAAGCGAAACTTCTCATGAGTTTATAGTGGAAAGAAGATAACGTTTTAACGGGAATGTCATAGGTATCCGTATTAAAAATAATTTCCCGTTGGTTTCATTTGTACACTCTACTAAACTCTGTTTTTTTATACGCCTGTTAGAAATGAAAATTATGTGATTATAAGTGATGATTTATAGTTTTGTTGTTCACTATTCTCAGTATTTTAATTTTACCAGCAACTGTAAATGAAGATTTATGATAACACTCGGTGATATTTATTCTCTTTATAATATACAGGGTGTCATGTAAAATTCTACCGAGCTTCAAATGAGACATTTAGGATTCTCTATGGGTACAAAAAATGGTATTCTTTTTTTTTTATTTAAAAATTATTTAAAATAGAACTCGAATCTTATTGAAAAATGGTCTTATGAAAAAAATAATTTCAGATTTCAAATCAAGAGAAAAAATCTTGTTGAATTGACATGAACATGATTTTTTGGTATCTGGCCACACATACGTCCACAAGGTGGCCACCGAGTGGCCACTGAGTGGCCGGAATGTGACTAAAACCAACATATGGCATGCGACACATAATTTAATATAAAATAATACTAAGAACACCACTGAATTAAGAATAAAAATCTAACCCAAAATGACGTGTCACATTTCATAAGTTGGTTTTGGTCTTATGCCGGCCACTCGGAGGACGCATGTGTGGCCAGATACCAAAATTTCATGTTAAATATCAATTCAACAAGATTTTGTTTACTGATTTCAAATCTGAAATTATTTTATTCGTAAGACCATTTTTTAATGAGATACGAGTTCTATTTTAAACAATTTTAAAATAAAAAAAAATGAATACCATTTAATGTACCCTTACAGCATCCTAAATGTCTCATTTGAAGCTCGGTAGAATTTTACATGACACCCTGTATATTAAGTATATATTGGAACACTAACAGTTTATTATAATGGTATGTCTACAAATAAGTTGAGGTTGTCTAAAAACATTTGTTGATAATGCAGAATTATAATCCCAACGATTGAAATGATCAAAATTAAAAGGGTTTCACTAATGATTTTTTTTTATACAGTAAGTATACATTTTTCAATTTTGTTCACCTGTGAAATTACATAAAAGTCTATAATCTAATAAAACGTGATTATTGAAAAGGACCATAGCATTTAAGCCATTCGTTACAAACTAATAAAGACAGTATTTCTATTTGATTTCATAATACTCTTATGCCGGTGGTGTAAATGGATAGGCCGGACAAAAAGAAGGTGTTTTTGAAAAAGAAAGAATAACCAATATGTTTATTGAACTAAAATAAACTGTAGATTTTTATGATTAAACTTATACTATTAACTACGGATTACACTTTTAAAATGAAACCTAACTTTAAAGAGTTTCTGTAACTATAAGAGGTTCTGCTATAATGTACTACTGAATTCCGACTTACTAACTAGGCGATTGGCTTGTGTCAACCGACGGGCCCAGGACACCCGAAACCAAAGGTTTCGACATAACCACGATGACACTTGTAATCGCATATTAATATTAATACCAATATAATGCTACATAAAGCATTCCAAACTATTATGAAATATGCTACACTACACCGGGTTGTATAAACGTTCACTAAATATTTAACTAATATTTGTTTTTTTTTTTAACCAATAAATAACTTTATTGAGCCATTTTTTGTTGCATAAACAGTCTTCGTTTAATAGTAATTAGCGTATTTTACATTGTTTTTTGAGACTCGTGTGAATCGATAAAAACACCGAAAAATGCACATATGTCTCAACTTGAAATTATGGCCTGTATTATAAAAATAGTCGAGTGCGTTCCAAATTTGTATGGAAAATATAACAATTATGGTTTTCTAAAAAACTAGTTAATTGTCGTGTTATTAATCACACAGTATATCTACTTTATGCTTAAAGTAATATTATTAAAACCTCCTGTTTATATGGAACGGAAAATTAATAGTACTTATGATATTCGTATTTGATGATACATAATGTAAAATATGAATGTCACATGGAATTTAGTAGAAATTATTTATACAAATTGATCCACAAATCATTTTGGAACCATCTTCACATTATTGGTACATATAACAATCTCGTGAGGGTCAGTAGTTTCAAATTTGTCAAAAATAGTGTACAACTTAAATTTAATGTAAATTGATGTGCTTAAAAACTATTTATTTGATGTAAAATAAACTAGTTTACAGTGTAGCAATAGTCGTTTTTAAAAAAAAAAACTTTAAAATTATTTGTTTTTAATTTTGAAATTTTATATTTAGCGATTACAGAAAAATGTTAAAAATGAACACGTATGGTAAGTAGAATTAAGTTTATATGTATTTTATAAATTAATATTTTTTTCATCTTTGTACTATTGAAACTTTTTGAGTTATAATGGAAAATCTAAATAATTTTGCTTAACATGGCATTTTTTTTTTAGTCTTGGTTGTATACGCCAAGCCGCTACTTTTATGAGGTATTATGAAAACGATTTTAAAAATTTCCTTTATTCACAATAAGCCAAATAATGAATAAATTAAAAATCTATTGTAGAATTCTCTCTCTAAAGTGTGGATTGTGTAAAACGCTGTTAAGACCCAAAAAAAAATAAAACGAAAAATATAAAATCCTTTTTACTGTTTTTTTTTTAACTATAACTTTTTGACCGTTAGGCTTATGCCTTTTTAGTTTTAGCGTATCTACAGTTCTTAGAGTTTGATAGAAATACTTACCATAATTGTGGAGTTGGTAAGTGGTTCTTGGACAATAATCGACTTGACCTGGTTTTGAAACTAAATGTTCTTCTTGCGACTCGTGGACGGGCTTATACTTCGACCGAAGAATCACAATCCGAATAGGTTTTTGTGGTGTAAATATTATGTTCATATATTTACACAACTGGTTCATTTTTTTAAATAATTTATCGTGTACATACGTTACTTTGAAGCGGCTTTTAGATTATATTTTCTACGAAAAAAACACTTACAGGAAAAAATATATTATAGCTTGCAATAGCATTTTTTTTTTTTTGAAAATTCTATCATGGTCTTACAAAAACTATTTCAGCGGTTACAAATACTTAAACTGCCGATAAACATTAACAAAATAAAAACATAAAGCCTTTCCTCTAGAAGGGATACAAATAATTTCTTCATTTCACTTTTTCAAGCAAAGGTTTAGAGATTTAGGTCAGAAAATTTTACAGAAGGTAAATCTAGAATAAGACTATAACATATACAATTTTCTCAATAATCTGTAATACAACTTTTTTTTTGCTAATTTTTTTCTCAGTTCTCTTCTTTCCATCACCCACATAACTTTTAAGTGAGTACAAAAAGAGTAAGAAAAAAGTTCAGATTAATTTTGAGAAAATTGCCATTTTTAGATTTTTCCCTTTACATACACTGTAAGACCCACATTTGTGCCAAATTTCACGTTTCTATTTATACTGGAAGTGTCTTATAATTTTGATGATGAGTGAGTCAGTCAGTCAGTAACAAAAAAGCAAATTTTGAAATCCTCCCATTTTGAAAGGGCTGAATATTAAGGGCTTATATTTTTACAGCGTCTTAAGCTACACGACTTTTAATCTATGTTCCAAATTTAAAAAGCTTATCTTAAGAAAAAATAAAGTTATGTGGGTTAGAAAAACTGGGTGAATTGGTTCGTATAAAGATACACAGGCATTGTTAGAACTTGGCCGGCGCACTGCCGTGCGCTCAAATATTGCGCTAAGGTTCCAATGCTGACAACTTTTGAAGTAGAGTTTTACCTTTATAAATTAATTGAACACCTTCAACGTTCAATTAACTGTTCAAATAAAACTGAGAGTTGTTCTTCTAAAAGGTATCTAAGTTGCCCATTACGTTGAAGGTACATATGAATACATATTAGTATTTGGTCTTTATTTAGTCCAGTGCACTGAAATAAAGTGTAATGACTTATAGCTTTTCTGAGAAAACTGTTATAATTATTTTCTAGTTACATTAGTTGAAAAAAATATGTTTATTTACAATATTATAAAAATTATTAAATATTTAGCTTTTTTAATATTATCCAAAGAGGATCAACTTTTGTAACTCAAATGGGAACGTATACATTTATTTAACTTCTTAACATAAGAATATTTTTCTCTGGTTGAGTAACTAGCACAGATACAACTATACACATACCGTTCTAAATTTTAAACTTAATAAGTTATTAGTAGTAAGTGGGTCTTGGGGGGCAAGGCCTGTCACGTTAGTGACGTGAGTTACAGTGAGGCGAGTGAAGTGATGATACGTGGGTCAAGGTGGGTGATGAGAAAAGTCACGGTGAGTAAAATGGCATGAAACATCATTATCAAATGTACTCACTTAAGAGTTATGTGAGTGGTGGAAAGAAGAGAACTCGGTAAAAAAGTAAAAGGTTTAGATCCCCTCCCCAAAAAATCAAAGTAGTGGTATCTACGTTGCGGCCAAGTCTGTTTTATGTCTCATTCAGAAAGGTCATATTTCATTTAAAAACTGGCCAAGTGTTAAGCAATACAAATAAAAGAGTAGTGTTGCTCATGAAAGTAGGAGTGAAGTGTGGTTATGAACTAAAGAAATAGCAGACTTGGCCACAATGTAGATATCACTACTTTGATAGGCTGACATTTTTGGGAGGGGGTCTGGAAATTGGCGTTTTTTCACTGTTAAGTTTTTGTTGGGGATTAAACACACACGAACATTTTGCAATCGTTTTTTACAGTATTTTGATATTTGTTATTAGTTGATATGGTTTAGGTTAAATTAGTATTATAAAACTAGTTTCTTAATAAATTACTCCGAAGCTGTCAGATATTTTCTTATCTTTATACGCTAACGCCAAAAATTACTTCTTAAAAGTTATATAATCGTAGTCATCTATAAAAAATAAGTAGCATGCAATTATTTGTTTAATAACAAATATAATATGTGACAAGAAAGCTTGACAAATTTAAGATATTAATATACAATCAATTCAATATTTTATGCTTAACAACTGTAATTATTTAGACCGATTAAGTAGTTACTTAATCGAGTACTACGTATTTTAAATTTCTAACTTAACTTAATTATATTTTTAAAAAGTAACTCTATCTTCTACACTTTATTTCATCATTAATTTACAAATAAAATTGATGGTTTAATAAATGTTTAAAAAAAGTACATAACAATTTATTATAATGTTAGTCATAAAAATTTGATCGGTTGTTTAAACTAATAAAAATCTTAAATAATATCTATTGATTTAAAAATATTGCTTAACATGTAAAATGCGTCTTCACCACTTCCTCTTGCCGCTGCCAGCTGTTTTCTACGGCCACGCCTCCTCACCTTGGCCAGCTACCACATGACAAATCAGCGAAAATAATTGCAGATTTGAAATCAAGAGAAAAAATCATGTTGAATTGATATGTCACATGACAAGAAATAATTGATAACGGCAATCATTCAAGCGGTAGCCGGCCAAGGCGAAGGGGCGTGACCGTAGAAAACAGCTGGCAGCGGCAAGAAGAAGCGGACCATGCGGTGGGGGATATGGTACAACCACGCCCACGGAAGCTAATCGGTCAGTCTGCAGGAGAGCGCGGTACGAGCACCATCGAACCACAGCCCTTAGGTGGAACGGACAAGATATCCAAGTGGGAGTAACCTCAAGTAAATTAAATTATTATTTTTTTTTTTTTTTGTCACGGAATATGAATTAATAAGTAATCTAATGATTAAACAATTCCATATCTAAATGTAATTGATTTTAATGAAATAAATAAACTATTGTAATTTGTATAGCACTATTTTTTCATGGAGCCTATAGAAAAAAATTTCAAAATTGTGATTTTTCGTGAAATGTGATCTAAGGCGGCGCACTTTTATCCGAGTTCCTCTGGCACTAGTGAAAATACATTCAAAAATATTATATATAAATAAGTGTAGAAAAAACACAGATATTATTTGCGTATGCATTCTGGAGTTGGTTTAAACAAATTGACGGTATAAATTTACAACAATTTTGGTAAGTACTTTTACCGGTCAGCTGTGAATGTCAAAATTAAACGTATTTTTTTTTTGGCAGCTGCCCTTTGAAAAAAAATAATTTATTACTTATTTAAGTGGCACTCAAGTAGTAATATTATACTCGTATTAAGGTTTTTTCAAGTATAAACTATGTAACAATTAATCGATACGAGAAATGTATACATCGCAAAATAGAGATACCATATTATATGGTTGATAGAGTACAGTATATTTTATACAATATATAAATATGTTTCTGAATGGGTCGAAAAGAACACCGTTTAACTATTTAAAACCTTTTGTTGTCCGGTAATCGGTTTAATGTGACAAGGCGTACTTAATAAGTTTGTACTAACTGCTACTGGCTTTTGATACACCACAGAAATAAGGCATTTATTAAGAGGAATATAACATCTTTACCAAGTCATAGCAAACGAACAGATAATGAAAAATTCAAACGCTAATATTTTTTTTTTTTCCATACTAATATATGGAATTAAAAATAGGTGTTCCCTTTAAAAAATACATATATTTTTTACGAATTAGGGATGTATTTAAAAATATAGTACAATATGTACCTGGAAGTGTACGAAGAGGTTCATTGTGTAGCGGAATCAGAAGTAGGAGACCAAAACAGACGGGTGGAAATAATAGTTTTAGATCGTATAAAGGGCAAAGGCCTAATCCATTAATCCAACAATCAAATGGGAGACAAATTATTTGAATCAAGATGAGAAACGAGGAAAAAAAATATCTATTTACCTACCATACCATACCTGTAGTATCAATACGGTGTCGATGACTGGGATGCAAAAGGTCTATGGTTTGGTGGTAGGGGCACCGCCTCCAAATTAATATTGGACTTCTTTAAAACTCATATGCTTAGAAAAGAAGACTTAAGAACAATATGTCTAGAAATAATGAAGGATACTTTAAATATAATCCATAGACATCTATATTCTGTGTGATTTTTATTTTTTATACTCCATACTTTTTATTATATTTTTGTGACTATCTACATTTATTACAATATTTATCAAACTATCTTATATGTTTTACACTATGACTATTATTTATTTATTTATTTTATTTATTAAATAAATGCCCGTAGGCTCAAGTGCATTACAGTACAATAAAATAACATAATGAATAACAAATTGATAAAATTGATAAACATGACATATAGAAAGAAAAAATAACTACAATTAGTACAATATAAAATAATTAAAACAAGATAACACAAAATTTTAATGAGTAACAGTGCATATATATAATTAAACAAATAAATCAATATCATTACGCCTATTACATACACGAGATATCCTATCGATAGGGTTGTTGGAACCATATGATGTGTGGTGGAATGGGATTGAGAAGGTAGGGATGGACCGGGAGTTGAAAGCGGGGATATGAAAGTTAAGACGATGTAGCAAATCTGGGCAAACAATATTACCCTTTATAATTTTCGAAAGGAAGGAAACGTTAATTGACTCACGTCTAGTGCTGAGTGATACCAAATTAAGGCTGGCCTGAATAGAAGATAAAGTGGAAGTAGAACAGGGGAGGCTAGGATCAAGACCAAGGCGTCTCTTATAGCCAATGAGCCGCAAGAAACGTCTTTGCACCCGCTCCAGTGATTCAATTTGTCCAATTTGCGCGGGGTTCCATAAAACTGAACAATACTCTAAGAGAGGTCTGACTAGTGACACATACAAGGTTTTAAGACATAGTTCATCATTAAATTCTTTGTGCATCTAATTAAAAAGCCCAGGCTTTTTAAAGCTTTGGTACACGT